ACTAGATAATCTATACAGAATACTAGTTTAAGAAATTCTCCCTAAGCTAAGAGAAAAAAAGAACATAACATTACAAAAAAAAAAAAAAAAAAAAAGAAAAAAAGAAAAAGACATGTTAGGATATCCAATATACATGGTAACATAGCTATAGGGTATTTATTCTGCTTAAAAAAATCTGTAATTCTTTTTTTCCTTCCTCTGGAAAAGTGCTTCAAAATGTCACTAGTGTTTTACACACACACACACTCTTTCTGATAGTCTTGCTATGTAGTTTAGGCTAGCCTTGAACTCAAGGCAATCTTCCTGCCTTAGCCTCACAATTGCTGAGATTATAGACATGTACCATACCTGGCTCAGGACAGTTCTTTTTTGTTGTTGTTGTTTTAGTGGCCGGCCTAGCCCACCCTGGGCTGGGGTTGGCACAGCACGTGGTGCCGGGGATAGAACCTTGGTCCCTGTGCTTTTGCCTAAGCAGGCGCTTTAGACCACTGAGCTCTCTCGCCAGCACTCAGGACAGCCACCTAATCAAGCAGACAATTTTCCTTCTCAAGAGGTAAGAGTTCAGAGTATCTAACAAAAAAAAAAAAAAAAAAAGGTGATGACTCCCACTCATAAGGTACGCATCTCCATCACTACTGAAAATCACTAGATAACAGAAATATATGTTATTCTGTAATGTTTGGGAATGAACAAAAAAGTTCCATGGTAGAAATAGGAATACTGATTAAGAGTGAACTGATGAAAAAGAAGCTAAAGTCAAGAAAAAAAAAAAGAAAAGAAAAGAAAATATAGATATTCCACAAAAAAAAAATTCACTGAATACTAAGAAAGATTTTATTACATGTACATAGCACACATATGCAGAGAGGTGCAAGGGTATACACAACTCTCAGGGAATCTACTGAAGCAAAAGTAACAGATTATTAAAAATGAAACTGCCCCCCCCAATGTAATGAAGGGGGAAAAGATACAAATTATTTATAAAGGAAAAAAGATCCCCAAAAAGTAATACAATACATTCCTGCAACAGAAGCTACTAAAGATGGTTTTAGACATGTAACCACTCAGAAATTAAGGCAGCTACATATGTGGTATTTTGGGGGGTGGGGGAGGAAGGTGGGGACTCTACAATGTATACTGCCAACTGGAAAATAAGCCAATATAAAGATTTAAGAAATGGGCACTGGGATCATGCTTGAGTTGTCCAGTACACACAAGGCCCTGGGTTCATCCCCTGATGCTGAGAAAGGAAGGGAGGGATGCAAAGATGATACAGGCAGGAAGAAACCAGAACTCCTGAGTGTAAACCATTATTAAGGTAGCTGTATATATTAAGGCCAGTTTAAGAGTTACTGTTAAGAAAAATTTTATACCTCAAAAATGTTCTAAGTCTGTAACATTTTACATGATTTCTATACACCTAAGGCTAGAATCTGGAAAAGAAGGTAGTAAAAAAAAAAGTCTACTTCCCCTTCCACCAGAGACTCCATTAACATTTTGGTAGATTTCAATATATGCATATTTTATTTTAAACATTATCACTGGTAGAATAAAAATAAGATGTTCTCTGAATGGAGAGGAAAATGAAAAAAAAAATTAAATATAACCAGAAGGAGAATGAGAAGAGAAAGAAGAGGTGGAGGAGGAGGAGGAGGAGGAGGAGAAAAGGAGAACAGAAGGAGAAAAAGGAAGAGGAGGAGAAGAAAGCACAGAATAAGATGCCAGATGTAATCACAAAAAAGGAGAAAATTCCCGAGAAAGGCAAACTGTCAGTCTGGGTGAAAATTAAAACTTCTGCTCATAAGAGAAACTGGCAAGTGCAAAGGCCTGAGTTCAACCTCCAGTTCTGGGGGGGGGGGGAAGGAGAGAAATACCTAAAATACAACAGATTACTTGAAAACAAAGGGAAAGCAAAATCTATCAAGCAGATGCAAATAAAAAGAATGCATATGTTGTACATTCTATCAAGAAAAAAAGCACTAAGTGTTACCAGAAGGCTACAAAATAGAGTTCACAAAGAAGTCATGAACTTTTACACAGGGAATACTAAAGCAATGAAACATAAACATGAAGCAAAGCAAATTCAAAATACAAGAAAATGCT